CAGAATTGTCCAGAAGGGGCTCTCTGAGGAAGGGACATTTAACCTGAGCCCTGAATGGGGCGCCTGGCTGCCTCAGTCGGCAGAACACGCGACTCCTGATCTTGGGGTTGTGAGTTCCAGCCCCACGTTGGGTGTAGAGACTACTTAAAAAAAAACAACAACCAACCAACCAACCAAAAAACCGAGTCTTAAAGGATGGAAGGGGGAGTATTTGTTTCAAAAGTATTATTTGGAGGGATTTAACTAGACCGGGGAAGGCTTCGTTTGAAAAAGAAAATACTGCATATTGGCTTTAATTGTTGTTTTGCTGTTTTTACTTCACCTCATCAGCCTTTTTTTTCTCCGCAGAGGGAGCTAAGCACCCGACTAGCTGGAGCGGAGTAAACGCACGAAGCTCGACAGGGCGGGCGCAGGTCCTGACCAGGCGGACCCACGTCAGAGGCTGAGAACGTCCCAGAAGGTCTCCTATTTTTGTCAGGCTGTAGCTTTGCCTGGCAAACCGTGTTTAATTTGGACCTTTGGGGTGTTTAAAAAATTAATTGGTTTGGCTCCAGCTTTCTTCCTTTGAGAACAAGATCTGTTGTAAAATTTAAGTGGCCGTGCCAACTGGGGAATGTTCTCTGCACCTTGCGAGGAACCTCCTGTCCCCGGCAGGGGGCACCCCCCCTGGGAGAAGGAGAGACTGTGCCCTGGGCTCGGGGGAGGAGTGGGGTCTCCCTCCTCACGTCGTACACCCTTCCCTGGGATGGGGCAGGGGACCCGAGGGCTGGGCAATGATACAGGTGGTGGGATGGGATAGGATAGGAGGGTGTTCCAGATCTTCCGGCTGCGGTAGAAGGCCTGGAGGGGCCCCGTGGACGCAGTTGATGTGGACTCTTTGGAAGTTTCAATGCACGACCGTTCGTTGAGCACATACTGTTAGCCAGCCGCTGGGATAGACCCTGGAGGGGACACACAGAAAAATCAGGCTCTGGACCCTGCCCTCAAGTTCTTTTCATGCAGCCATCCAGCCAGCATTTACTGAGCACCTTCTGCATGCAGGAGAGATGCCAACTGCTTTCCAATGTTTTCTCCCTTGGAGGAGATCACTGAGTAGTGAGGAAATCAGGGCTGCGCCCACACACAATGTCCTGAGGGCTGTGGGGACCACGTGCAGGACGCCGTGGGAGCCCGGTGGGGCGGGGAGGGAGGGTCGGCAGGGAGAGAGGACCTCCCCCCACTGCAGCGGGGAGGGCTTTCCCAGCAGTGGGACCTCAGAGTGTGAGCAGGAGTTTGCCAGGAAAGGAAGGGCCAGGGAGCAGCCAGGTAGTGGAACAGTGTGCACAAGAGGAGGGTGATGAAGAGAGAATGATGGGCATGATGTGGAGGTCTCCTTCCTCCATTAAGCAGTAACGAGCATGAGCCTCGCTCCAAAAGGGCAAGAAGACAAGTAACAGCCACATACCATGTGGCCAGCTTTATGCTAAGCAACCATGTACATTATATTACTAGCGTCTCACCACCGTTCTCTGCTAGGTCAGCATGGGAGTCTCCCACTTCACAGATGCACAGACTGAGGCAAGGATGGTGCAGTCCGTCCCTGCCCCGGGCTGACAGCTAGTGAAAGGTTGGGTCAGGATGAGAGGTCCTACACCCACGTTGGTCTGACTTGGGCGGTGACCTGCTTCTGCTCTGGGCTGCACTGCCCCAGATGGACCACTGCTGGTTGGGAAATTACGTTTGCAGGCTCTTTATATATTAAAATATACAATGTAAACACTTCAATATCTAACACGCCTCACTCCCACCTCCGGGATGAAGAATGGAAACAAGAACAAGCATACTTTCTGTTTTATCCATTGGACTGTGGAAGCTTGGGTTTAAAAAAAGATTTAAGGATTTGATCCAGGTTGTTCCGGTGGCTGCCAACTTTGGTTTGATACACAGAGCACTGGATTTTCAGCCTTGAAAGCTAACCTTCTTAGAGATAGAAATGGATTCTTTTTTTTTTTTTTAAGATTTTATTTATTTGACAGAGACACCGTGAGAGGGGGAACACGAGCAGGGGGAGTGGGTGAAGGAGAAGCAGGCTTCCCACTGAGCGGGGAGCCCAATGCGGGACTCGATCCCAGGACCCTGGGATCATGACCTGAGCCGAAGGCAGACGCTTGATGACTGAGCCACCCAGGCGCCCCTAGAAATGGATTCTTAGTATAAACTTCATAACTGGCTGTGACAATTTAGCTTCCTTAGCATGGGGTGGGGGGGAGAAAAGGGGGTGAAAGGAAAGGGAGTGTTTGCTGCCCCCAAGAGCTCCCCATCTTTTATGCCTGAGCCCCTCCGAAGCTGCGTTTCAGCGCATGATTTATGACTCGAAGGGAGTCGGCAGCAAAGCCCAGGTGTGAAGGAAAGATGCCAACACTTCTAAAAAAATGTGTTTCCTGATTGTGCCCCTAAGGGTAGATGTAATTAAGCTGAATTTTAAAAACCACTATGCCTCTGCTTTTGGTTTATGCTCAGTGTTATGATCTTAATCAGGTAATTGTAGCTTGAGGGCAGGATCTATTTTTCTCACCGTATGGGGCTATTTATATAATTTAGTCCCCGGATGCAAAAAGGCGTATTACAAATGATCTTCATATACTGCATTTGCTTACCTGTGCCGACAGCCGTTACTCCTTAGAAGTAATGAGAAAGGTAAGGAAGAATAAAGAGGTCACTCCACATTCCCAAGTAATTAATTTGGGCTGACTCTAGAAGGTAGTGCCATAAAATTGATTGGTTTATTTAATTCAGTGGAAAAGGAAAAAAAAAATCCGTCTTCTGTTTTCCAATGGCAACATAGAAATTGTTTCTGTGGTGTGCATCCTGAGTTAATGTACTATCCTCTTTTATTTATTTATTTATTTATTTATTTTTTTAAAGATTTTTTAAAATTTTTATTTATTTATTCATGAGAGACAGAGAGAGGCAGAGGCAGAGGCAGAGGGAGAAGCAGGCACCCTGCCGAGCAGGGAGCCCGATGCGGGGCTCGATCCCAAGACTCTGGGATCATGACCTGAGCCGAAGGCAGACGCTTAACCGACTGAGCCACCCAGGCGTCCCTGTACTATCCTCTTTTGATAAAGCATTTTAGCAGGAAAAAACTGCTTCTCAGCTAAATTTCTCTTTTCCATTGGGTTCGTCATTTTCTCTTAAACAAATAATGGGCATTCAAGCTTGGTGGCCGTGTGTGCATTTGGAATGCATCAGGGCATATGAGTCTAGTCTGCCTGTCAGATTGATGTCACCTGTCTCCGTGCCCTGCTCAGTGCTTGAGGGTTCCTGTGACCCCCACCTTGTCACCAACACTTGACATGACCCAGCTTTCTCATTTCTGTCCAGCTGATGGTTGCCAGTGGATACCTCCTCATTTAAATTTGAATTTCCCTGATTACTAAGGACTATGCATCTCTTTATATATCATTAGCCTTTTGAGTTTTCTGTCGGTAGCCTGTTCATATTCTTTGCTGTTTTGCTATTAGGGCTTTTCCTTTTCTCCTTCCTTATGTATCATGGATATGATTTTTGGGTCCGATTGAGACGTTGCTGGGTCACCTCCCAATGTGTTGGCTGCCCGCCCATTTGTGTCCTTTGTGGAACAAAAGTTGTGTTTCTCGGGGCACCTGGGTGGCTCAGTTGTTGAGTGTCGGCTTTCGGCTCAGGTCATGATCCCAGGGTCCTGGGATCGAGCCCCGCATCGGGCTCCCTGCTTGGCGGGAAGCCTGCTTCTCCCTCTCCCGCTCCCCCTGCTTGTGTTCCCTCTCTTGCTGTGTCTCTCTGTCAAATAAATAAAATCTTAAAAAAAAAAAAATTGTGTTTCTCAATATAAGCAAGTTCACCAATTATTCGTGTTCTTATTTTCTCCTGGTGGTTTGTACTTTTGAGGTTTTATTTAAGAAGTTTGTCCCATCTCTAGGTCCCAAAGATATTTCCATTATCTTTATGGTCTCACTTTTCACATTTAGTTCATTCATCCATTTGGTGTTCACCTTTGCGAGCGGTGTTAGACCAGGATCCACACTAAGTTTTCTGCCACAGAGAGCGGGATCTCCCAAGGCCGTATGGTGAGGATTCCACCTGGATTCATAAAAATGTTCTCATGTTGTGCATTGTTCTCGATGTACTACATGTAACTCTGTACCTAAGCTCTCCCTTTTGCTACCTGAGTCTGTGGCTTGTTTTGTGCTCATACCATGAATTCTATTCCTTTTTTCTCTTTTCCTTTTTTTGAACTGTGGCTTTGTAAGGTGTCCTAATACCTAGTCAGGTAAATGTAGGCCATTTTAGCTATTTTAGGACTCCTTTCTTCCATATATATTTTAAAATAAGCTTACTGAATTTCTCAAAAAAATCCAAATGGATTTTTTCTTGCATATAACTTACTTATAATTATTTTATTTCTAGATTAATTTGTGTGTGTGGTGCTGTGTGTGTGTGTTTGGGGGTGGGGAGAATTGAATCTTTATAGATGCTAAGTAGGCCATGAAAGAGTATGGAGTATCTTGCCATTTGCTCAGGACATTTTCCATGTACTTTATTAAATTTCAAGACTGCCTCCTTGCAGAGCCCCTGTATTTTTGGTTAGACAAATTCCAAAATAATTCCAGCTTTGATTAGCTAATATTGTGAATTTATCTTATCTTGTATTATATTTTCTGGTTTGAGAAATGTTACTGGTGTAGAGAAATGTTACTGATTTTTAAAAAATTTATCTTTTATTATTCTATCTTGCAAAACTATGTTTTATTTTGTCTGATGATTCTAATGGTCTTTCCTGGAGAAATGATAAGATTATTAATCTCTAATAATAAAGATTTTTTTCTCTTTCCTTCTTAAATGTACACATTTTCTGTCCTTTTCTTTCCCTGTAGCATTGCCTACAGCTTCTAGAACCATAGGAAGTAATTACAATGATGGTGGACATCTGGCCTTGAATCCAGTCTTAAAGAGAATGCATCTAACTTGACTCCATTACTTATCATGTTTGCTGTGGATTTTTGGTATATAGCCTTTATCAAGATAAGAAACTTCCCTTTTATTTGTAGTTTGCTAAGGGTTTCTTCCCTAAATGGGTGTTGAATTTTAAGAAATGCTATTCTGATTCAGATACTTTATTGACGATTCATTGATTCATATAATCATATAATTTTTGTCTTTTAGTCTGTTGATGTGATGAATTACATAGATTTTTTTTTTCTTCTGTTGAACTATCCTTGTGTTCCTAAAACAAGAGTGTCTTCCTTGTACCATATATAAAAAGAAACTATTGGATTCAATTAGCTAATATTTGACTTAAGGATTTTTTGTTCATTATGTTCATAATGAAATGAGCCCATTATAGTCTTATGTTGCCACTCTCTGATTTTAGAATCAAGATTACATTAGCCACATAAAACGATTTAAGCAGCTTTCACTTTTTTTGTTTCCCAGAATAAAACTTCCGTAAGATGGGAATTTGGGCTTTTTAAAAAATGTGGCAAATTCATTTGTAAACCCACTGGAACTACTTTATAAAGACTAGTTGACTCCCATTTTAACTTTGGGTTCTCTCTTGTTTGGGTTCTCTCGTGTCAACTTTGGCATTTTTTATTTTTTCTAGGAATTTATTAAATTTTTTAACTTGCTAAATTCACATTACTTTCTTATTATATTTTTAGTCTCTATGCTATCAAGCTCGGTGATGTGGGGAGATGAGGGGATGTTCTCCTACAGAAACTGCAGTGAGACTCCTGTTTTGGGGTTTGGTTGCCTGAGAACGGGCTACAGGTAGGTATAGGTTGACTTTGCCATCCCTAGGGCCTCCCCGAGTTTGTGGACCAACTGCATTTGGCATTGGTGTTTTAGACAGCCCTGCACCCTGACAGCGGGGAGAGACAGGGGAAGGCCTGAGCTTCAGGCTTTCTAAACCCTTTCTTCTGATTCTGGGCCAGAGTGTGGCAGCCCCATGAACATGGTAGTGGTGGGCTGGGGGACAGGGCAGTTTCTTCCTAGGCTTAGCTTCTTGGCCTTTTGCATTGAGCTTCTCTTCATGCAAATGAAAAGATTGCTCTCCTTCTCTTCATGCATTAGGTGACCACAGGAGCAGCTCCAGAATTTCTGAATTTGAGGAACCTAGATCTTAAGCAATCCCATTGGAAGGAAGGACTAGAGATTTGCTGGGTGAAAGCCACCCCCACTAGAGCCCCTCATGACCAGCACCTGGGGCTTGTGCTACACTCTTACTCCACACTCGGCTGAGTGCTTCTTGGACCATGTGGTGGGCCAGGATTTCCTTGGCCCTGAGATTGTGAAGGGCATACTGGAGGCAGAGATTTTGCAGCTGGACAGTTGGAGCTTAAATTCCCGATTCAATCACTTGTTAAGGGGGTGACTATCAGCAAATGATTGGACTATTTCTGGTTCCCTCTGCTGCAGGATGGAGGAGAGTAATTCTCCCCTCACGAGGCCTGGGGAGGATTGTGTCAGTCAGGGACCCAGCAGGAACAGAGGCACACACAGATGAAGTGACTTGAATGAAGCCTGGATGCACGGCGGGATTGAGGAGACAAAAATGGGATACCGAGGCACCAGAGACTAGTGACATCAGGCTTAAGCCTGCAGGAAGTCATTACTGCTGTGAATATTAGTAAAGGGAGTCCTCCCTAAAATGGAGTTGGGGGCCGACCGGGGGAGCACTCACGCCCCACCACTTGTCCTCAACTGCAAATCCAAAAGGAAGAGACAGACCTTGCCAGGTGGGTACTACTTTGTTACCTAGCAGGAGGAAGAAAGTTTTTCCTTCTCCTGTGGCAACAGCTCAACCAATGAGAGATGGCCACAAATCAGCCAATGAAAAGCCACCCTAATTCAAAACCCCAATGGACATTTTGTTTATAACAGCTCTCCCGGGGCGCCTGGGTGGCTCAGTCGGTTAAGCGTCTGCCTCAGGCTCAGGTCATGATCCCAGGGTCCTGGGATGGAGCCCCGCATCGGGCTCCCTGCTCGGCGGGGAGCCTGCTTCTCCCTCTTCCCCTGCTCGTGCTCTCTCTCTCTCTTTCAAATAAATAAATAAAATCTTAAAAAAAAAAAAAATAACAGCTCTCCCAACATCCCCCTTTCCTCTATAAAAGAGTGTTCCTCTCCTTTGTTCTCTGGACTTGCCTGTGCTTTTGCCATAGCTGATTCCAGGTTGCAACTCTCTGCTATTCCTGAATAAACCTACCCTTGGTTGGTGACATAACTGTCAGTTTTATTTTTTAAGGTTAACACCACCCACCAGCCTGCAAAAACGAGCTGAGGAGGGGGGTTTCAAGGCAGCAAAAAAGATGCAGCCACCCCGGGACCCCTGGGGCCAAAGTAGGGAGGGATGGGGAAGGGTTGTAGGAAAAGGGACGAAGTACCCAGATCTCTCTCTCTCCTCTCTCCTGCCGGCACCTTCCATTGATCATAGCCCGTCAGAAACCAGAGGGCGGGGGTACTCAGCCCATGAGGGTCAACCTCCAGGATGCTGAGGGCTGAGAGGGATGGAGATTGGACCGGGTGCAAACAGACAAAAACCAGCATAAAACTTAGATGCGGTCGTATCTGCTAGTTGTCTTGCACATAGTAGGTGACCAGGAAATGCTGGCTCTCTGGGGCTGGTGAGCAGCGCCTGGCTATTCTGAGTCCGGTGTCTCCCCAGGTGTCCATGGGCTTGGTTTCTTAACAGTTTCACAACAGCATTTTATGTTTACAAATGGAATCTCTCAAGCCAAAGCCAGTTTCCCCAGGTTGAAATGAAAATGAAATCACAGTAGCAGAGGCACTAGTGAAGAAGGGATCTGGGTTGCAGGGGGACCCATGAACTAAGAATAAGCCTCTGTCAGAAGATGCCGAATCTACAGAGCCTAGGAGTAAGAACAAACATGTTGAAAATTAAATATGAAATGGGTAATTATGTAGTAATGAGACTGAGGACATTACAAAGGACACTGTCATTTAAACCACCTCATCTCAACACAGTAATGAACGGGAAAAACCCTCCAGCTTCGTAATTATAATCATAGTTGCCATAACAACTTAGTGTCTCTCTCTGTGAGCATCTATCTCAAGATTATATTTTTAGCAACGACTGTGCCTGAGCATGTATTTTTCTTTATATAGCAGCTAATTTTTCAAATTACTGATCTTAAAAAAAAAACAAACCCACAATTCCGTCTTCATTCTCTCTGAGTGTAAAAGTCTCCGGGATAATTAGGGAAATGAGCAGGTGTGAAAGTCCGTTATGAAAAATGCTATGAAAGTATTGATGTCTTGACAACATTTGTTTCAACAGAATGTTCTCTGGACCTGTATACTCTATTGTTCCTTGTCAAGCAGCTTAACATAAATCTTTGCTGTGCAGCTCATAAATATTTGAAAAATTATTAGCTCTGTAAGGTGTTTGAGGATTATTTGACAAGTACAGATTTATGTTTTGTAACAGAAATTGGCTTAATGGAATCCTGAGTCTCAGGAACAAATGGATGAGTAAATAAACACAGGCTTAACTTGCTCAATAGAAATGCCCATAACAGATTCCCAAGTGAAGCAAACAATGGGTTGACTTTAAAGGACACCATTTGAAACAGATTCCCAAGTGAAGCAAACAATGGGTTGACTTTAAAGGACACCATTTGAAAAAGTCAGAAAGACCAGGAGGGATCCTGAGCTGCCATTTTGGTTTCTGAGTTTGTCCCCAGCTGGAAGGTTTGGTTTTATAGCATGATGAACGTCCAATAAAAGTTAACACTTTACCAAGCTCCACTTACACTCTCGGGAAATGCCAAAAGCCCTTTGTTAGGATTCCAGACTTGAGCTAAATAAACAAATTATTAGACTGAGAACAAGAAGATCTCAGAAAGCAGCACTCTTTGACGATGCCACAAAAAATCCTTAGCCAAGATTAGACGTGCAGCAAGAGTTTATTGAGAAGTTTCTGTCTTTCTTGTGCTCTCTTATTTCTGTGGAGGATGTAAAATTAGCAGGTTGGAATAATTGCTGGTTTATTTTTTATTTTTTTATTTTTTTAAAGATTTTATTTATTTATTTGACAGAGAGAGACACAGCGAGAGAGGGAACACAAGCAGGGGGAGTGGGAGAGGGAGAAGCAGGCTTCCCACTGAGCAGGGAGCCTGATGCGGGGCTCGATCCCAGGACCCTGTGATCATGACCTGAGCCGAAGGCAGACGCTTAGTGACTGAGCCACCCAGGCGCCCCTAATTGCTGGTTTATAAAGAGCTTATAGACACCGTGTGAGGGGAAATGAAGAGTATGCCTTATTGTCTGGGGCCATGGGTGAACCAGGAGAGCCAAGTGTGGGTGAGCAGGTGAACCTGAATCCTACGTGGAGGGATTATGTGGGATTGGTAAGCACTCTGTTCTTCAGTAGGACAGCAACATTATAAAATGGGTGTCTTACGATGGACTCTGAAAAACAAACTGAGGGTTCTAGAGGGGAGGGGGGTGGGAGGATGGGTTAGCCTGGTGGTGGGTATTGAGGAGGGCACATTCTGCATGGAGCACTGGGTGTTATGCACAAACAATGAATCATGGAACACTTCATCTAAAACTAATGATGTAATGTATGGGGATTAACATAAGAATAAAAAAAAGAAATAAAAAAAAAAAGAAATTCATAAAAAAAAAAATGGGTGTCTTAGGGAGAAAGCCCGGTAGCTTCTCCTGTGGGGCGTACAGCAAGTCATAGAGGCCAAGCCAAGGAGGCCTGCTGAGCGCGTGTTCCAACAATCTGGCTCGGGGCTCTGAACAATGGGAACATTGTTCCCATTGCCGGAGGGAACGGAGGAAGAGGTGAATTCAAGAAAATGTGCCGCAAGAAGCGCTAGGACTTCCTGAGGGGTCAGATGCAGTAGAAGGTAAAGCATAAATGGGACAAAGTCTTGATCTGGGGGGCTGAAGGATGAGCAGAGCCTCCGGGGCAGAAGATGGCTGGGTTGAGAAGCAGGATGAGGCTTGGGAATGAAGAGCATGAGTAAGCTTGGCCATCCTGTCTTTCTAAAGTTCATGAACGCTGGCTGTGCCCAGCCCATTTCCAGGCGAGCAGCCCCAGAGGGAGGGAATCGGAGGGAGACAAGGCAGCTCCAGGAGCCTTGCAGGAGGCTGCTAATGTGTTGGGAGAATTGGCATCGATGCAATCAATTCTTGTTCTCTTTGTTCTGCTTGCTTTAATTATGTGTCTTTCTGTGGAAAACAAACAAGCAAGCCATACGAGGGAGAGCTGTGATTAGTGGGATTTGTTTCCTGATTTTAGGGATGTGTTGAGACTCACGTTTGAGTGGGGGCATTCTCTGAACGTTTACCAGACACTGCAGGGTAGGTGTATGTTATTTTATTTGCCTAAGAGGTGCCAGGAAAGTAAAATGTTTTTAGGACTTATGCGTTTGGGGTTACCAAGATTCATATTACCTGACTTTAATTATTGGATAAACGTTAGTCTTGGCTGTAGTTTGCTCTGTGTCCTTGGGAGAGTCTGGGCTTCAGTTTTCTCCTCTGTAAAATGGGAGAGAGAAGGTCAGGCTCAAGTTTTAACTGTATCAGAATGATTTGAGGAGCTTCCTGGACATGCCCGTGCTCAATCCCTCCTCTCAAAAGATTCTGGAAGTCCGGGGTGGGGCCCGGGCACCTGCATGTTTAGCAGGCTCTGGGGGCTCCGACGGAGGTGGTGCACGGTGCCACCCTGTCTGGGTGGGCTCTTGGCCCCTTCTGGCCAGGATTCTAGGCGATCTTCTTGCTTGTGCTTCCTGTAGCTAGCTGCAACTCCTGAGTGCACCACTTGCAGAAGCTTTGGAACTGCAGCCCTGTTTTGTTGTCGGGAGGGCCCGGCTTCAGAAAAAAGCAAGGCTGAGCCCTGGGGATACATCATAGGCGAGGGTGGGCCAGGATCCACAGGGGGTCATGAACAGGGCCCAGAGCAGGCCTACGTGGAGAGTGGAGGGAGGGAAGGGGACCCTTCTCCTCCATCACTCTGGAGACCTCTGCTGGCTCTGGATTCCAGGATATTCGGCAGGTGTGGGGGCTGTTGATAGGCCCAAGGCTTCCTGGCGCTTGGAGACAGGGCAGGGCCCTGCCTCAGCCTGTAGCCTCCTGTTCTCACTCTGGCCATTCTCTTTGGTCTGCGGCCTGGGACCCCAGAAGACCTGCGCTAATGGATGGCCCGGTTGGCGGCCTGCTGGAGGACAATGAGAGAAAACGAGGTGGCAAATGGAGAGGCCGGTGTAAAGGATGGCAGCTGGCCCGACCCAAGCCCTGCCCACTGTGTGGGCTCAAAAGTGAGACTCCAGGGAAATGGGGAGGCTGTGCCCGGATGCCCAGACTCAGCTCAGTGGTCTCCTGGGATATCAGGGCCCAAAGGACTGGGAAGGGGATAGCCTGATCTAGGGTCAAGGCTCAGTCCGTCCCTGGGGTAGGCAGAATGGCCCCCAAAGACCCCCCTAGCCGAATGCTAGGGACCTGTGAATGGGTTACATGGCAAAATGGATTGTACAGATGGGACTGAAGTTACTTGAAGAGAGGGGGTTATCCTGCATGATCTGGGTGGGCCCATCTAATCCCAGGAGCCCTTCCTCCAACCAGAAGGAAGGAGGAAAGATGTAGCAGAAGGGGAGGTCGGAGAGGTTTGAAGTCATGGCGGAGGTGGGGGGCACTCAGCATGCCAGTGCTGGCTGAGGTGTCCGGCCCCCATACAAGGACCAGGGAGAAGCTACTAGAACTCATGGAAAGCAGGAGAAGGAATGCAGGCAGTCAGGGGCATTCAAGAGCAGGGTGCCGACAACCAGCAAGTACTCGGGACCTGGGTGCTCCCACGTGGCGGAACTGAACTGGGCCAGCACCCATGGGAGCCTGGAGGCAGGTTCTGCCCCAGAGGCTCCACTGGGGAATGCAGCCCCGCTGATTTTAGCCTAGGGACACGGCTCACACTTCTAACCCGCAGAACTGCAAGCAGTTGTTTTAAACCACTAAATTTGCCGGAGTTTGTTACAACAGCAAGAGGAAACCAAAGCAGGCTTCCTTTCCGCGATCCCAGCCTGAAGGACCAAAACATAGTTGTCCAAGGACAGAAGGTACTTTTTCAAAGGTGACTGAGCTCCCTGCCTGCCCAACTAGAAAACGCTCCCGCAGGAGCCTGCTCTTTGCATGAACCGAATGACCTCTGTGACTCCAAGTACGGCAGCCCTAGGGTAGCTCCGCTTTGTCCCTCTTGTCCAACAGAGTCCCCGTCTCAGGAGCTGGGGCCCTCCAGGGTCACCAGGGCCCCCGCCCTCACGGAAACTTTACTTCTTGGAGCCCTGGGGACCTGGGGTCTCAGGAGTCCCTTCTTCACAGTTCCTGAAATAGGATCATGGTCAAGTTGAGCGAAAGGTTTGTACGGTCAGTGGAGAACCGTGTCTGGTGTGGAGCCAGGGACAGAGCAGCGATCAGCAGGCAGGGGGCTAGGCTTCGGCCCCTAACTGGCTTTAGGACATTGGGCAAATCGTCTCTCCTGGCGGGCCGCGCTCCTCCAACCTGTGAAGCCGCTCGCGCTTCCTCCGGGGTGGAAACTCAAAGCTTTGAGACTCTGGGGAAGCCGGCGCCCAGCAGGGCAGCTCACCGGCCGGCGTCGGGGCAGCGGGACGGGACAAGGCTTGGAGACGGCCGATGGGACGGAGAGGGCTCGAACACCTGCCTCCGGGGCCGGCCTCCGCGGGGTCCGGGCCGAGAGGGAGGCGGACGGGAGGGCGGGGCCGGCCCCCTGCGCCCGCCCCGCGCCTCGGCGCGCCCCTGCCCGCCCCCGGCCCGGCCCAGCGCAGCCCGGCCCAGCCCCGCGGGCGGGTCACACGCGCCGTCGGCCGGCCGCCTCCCGCGCCCCCTGCGCCGCGCTGCCGTCCCGGCGCCCCCGCTCCGCGCCGCCGCCCGCGCCCGCGGCCCGCCCGGCGCTCCCGGGGCCCGTGACCCTGCCCGGGGCGCGGGGCCGAGCGGGCATGGCCCGCCGGGGGGCCGCCGCGCTGGCACTGGCCCTCGCGCTGCTGGCGGTGGTCCTGGCCGGGGTGGGCGCCCAGGGCGCAGCCCTCCAGGCCCCGGACTACTACGTGCAGGAGACCTGGAGCCGGGAGCCCTACTACGCGCGCCGGGAGCCCGAGCCCGAGCCCTTCTCGCCGCCGCTGCCCGCGGGGACCGGGGACGGGGAGCGGGAGCCGCGCCCGCCGGAGCCCAGGCCGCCCAAGAAGGCGACCAAGCCCAAGAAAGCGCCCAAGAGGGACAAGTTGGCTCCGGAGACGCGTCCACCAGGTAAGGAACTTTGTGCGCGGGGCGGCCCGAGGGGGCGCCGTGGCCGCGCGCCTCTCCCAGCGGCTGGCTGGTCTGAGGGGACAGCTGGCTTCCAGGCCTGTGTGTCGGCGACGCCAGAGCCCGCGAACCCAGCCATCGCGCCCCCCCCCCCCCCCCCCGCCGCCTCCCTGGGGACTGCGTCGCGCATCCCTCTGGCCGCTCGGAACTTCCCGGACAGACACCGGTCGGCGTTTCCCCGCAGGTGGAGGCGGAGTATGGAAGCTGCCTGCGGAGCTGGTGGCCCAGGTCTGAAATGGGCTGGGCAGAGGCTCTTTCCGCCCGACACCCCTAGTCTTGCTACACTTCTTGGGAGTGAATTTACGGTTTGGCCACGTGAAGGGCTGGCGGGCTTTGGCACGACGGCCTTCTGGGGGGAAACTCAGCAGTGGGCCTTTACCCAGCCAGCGCCCCTCTCAGCTCCCTCCCTCCCGCTTTCTGGGGGTCCCTGGAATCCTCTGCCCAGGTGGGGCAGGATGGCAGAGCCTCTGCTGGGGGGGCTGGGCCGGGCCGGGGGCGGGCAGAGCCTCTGCTGGGGGGGCTCCTGTCTCCGTGGAGAGGGGGCGGGCTGCAGACGGAGGGAAAGCCCAGGGGGCCTGGCAGCCTGCAGTGCCCGCCTTCCATCCGTCCGCACACCCTTCTCCCATCCATGCGTCTCTGCCAGCCCTGTCTTGGCAAATGACTTCCATTCGGCTTCACTCCTTGTGAAGGGGAGACTTTTCTCTTAATTGTTCCAAATGTTCTTTGCTCAAATTGCAGAGGGTCCTAGGATTTCAGGACTGGGGAGTGAGCAGGATTGTAGCCAAATTCTCTGGCCCTGTGATGGCCTTCCTTGAAAGGAGATACATGCTGGTGGCTCCATTACACCGCTCCTGGCATGGAAGGAATTGCTTTTGTTTGGTTCAACTCTTCAGCAAGTCAGCAGGAGGCAGCGGGAGAGGCGAGGAGGTGGGGACACAGATCTCTTGAATGTGTGGACCCATCTCAGCAGCCGCTCTGCACATGTGTGGAGGTGGGGGCGCATCCTGCCATGCTCCAGGTTGTGAGCGACTCTGCCAATGGGCAGGCAGTTCTGTGAGTTGTGTGACCCCCAACAGAACCATCCAGAATTTCCAGTATCTTCTGGGGAATTATGGGAACTAAGATGTGTAAAACCCCAGCGGTTTAATAGCAGGAGTATGAAGAGACAGTCCTGTTTGGAGAACGTCTGCTGGGACTCTGTTAGGAGCTTCATGGGTAACTGTCTCGTCTAATTCTTCCAGTGGCTCTGAGGGGTGGGTGTTCTTTTTATTTTACAGATGAGGGACCGTAGGCGCTGACAGTTTAAGTAACTTAGTGTCACTTGCTGGCTTAGGAGATTTGAAAGCCCTTCTGTGCTTATTTTTAACCCAAGGCCTTTCTTGTTTGGTAGTTTGAATCAGATTTGCATGTGTTTTTGGTTTTGGGTATCTGCTGTGATTAGCGCAGTGCTGGGCATGGTGGGTGGGAGACACGTATGTGGGGTTCTGGTACTTGCTGGGGGGAGTGTGGAAGAAGCCCCAGACTGAGTCTGAAGACCATACTTCATACCCAGGTCTGGGAGCTCAGCACTCAGCGTCCTGGGACTTGGTGTCTTCATCTGCAAAGGACGCCCGCACCTGCTACTTCTCTTTACTTGGTCAGGTGCTTTATTTTATTTTATTATTTTTTAATTTTTCAAAATGTTTTAAGGTAGTTACTCTTTATTTACTTATTTTTAATTAACATATAAGGTATTATTTGTTTCAGGGGTACAGGTCTGTGATTCATGAGTCTTACACAATTCACAGCGCTCACCATAGCACATGACCTCAGCTTTTCCACAAAAGCTTCCGGTGTGTCAGCTGATGGTTGTGCTAGTCCATCTGTGAGCCGTTCATTCGTTCCGCAGGTGGTTACCAAGAACCTGTTCAACGCCAGGTGCTGGGTGAGGTCCTGGGAGTAGAGAGCGCAGGTCATTCCCTGCCCCTGTACACAGCACAGAACTTGGGGGGCTTTGAAAAAGGGATCACAGTTGTGCTGAGGGCTGGATTGCTAATCCCCAAACTGGAAAAAGGTTCTTGGAAATTCCAGAGACTCAGCTTCGAGGCCTCCTGGGATAGCTGCCTCCCCAGGCCTGCCACTCTTTCTAATGATCTGTGTGGGTTTTTAAGAGCCCACCACCTAGGACAAGCAAAGTGGGATATTTATCCCAACTCAAAACTCCTGTCCTCTTTTTTCCCCATGTTTTTGGGTGTTTGGCCAGTGGAGCCCTCCACCCTGGACTCTTTTTTTTTTTTTCTTAATTTTATTTTATTATGTTAATCACCATACATTACATCATTAGTTTTTGATGTAGTGTTCCATGATTCATTGTTTGCGTATAACACCCAGTGCTCCATTCAATACGTGCCCTCCTTAATACCCATCACTGTGCTAACCCATCCCTCCACCCCTCTCCCCTCTAGAACCCTCAGTTTGTTCCTCAGAGTCCATAGTCTCTCATGATTGTCTCCCCCTCCAATTCCCCCCCTTCATTTTTCCCTTCCTACTGTCTTCTTTTTTTTAACATATAATGTATTATTTGTTTCAAAGGTACAGGTCTGTGATTCAACAGTCTTACACAATTCACAGCGTTCACCATAGCACATACCCTCCCCAATGTCTATTACCCAGCCACCCCATCCCTCCCACCACCCACCACTCCAGCAACCTCAGTTTGTTTCCTGAGATTAAGAATTCCTCATTATCAGTGAGGTCATATGATACATGTCATTCTCTGATTGACTTATTTTGCTTAGCATTATACCCTCTGGTTCCATCCACGTTGTTGCAAATGGCAAGATTTCATTTTTTTGATGGCTGCATAATATTGCATTGTATATATATACCACATTTTCTTTATCCATTCATCTGTTGATGGACATCTTGGCTCTTTCCATAGTTTGGCTATTGTGGACATTGCTGCTATAAACCTTGGGGTGCATGTACCCCTTCGGATCACTACATTTGTATCTTTGGGGTAAATACCCAGTAATGCAATTGCTGGGTCGTACGGTAGCTCTATTTTCAACTTTCTGAGGAACCTCCATACTGTTTTCCAGAGTGGTTGCACCAGCTTGCATTCCCACCAACAGTGTAGGAAGGTTCCCTTTTCTCTGCATCCTCGCCAACATCTGTTGTTTCCTGATTTGTTAATTTCAGCCATTCTGACTGGTGTGAGGTGATATCTCATTGAGGTTTTGATTTGGATTTCTCTGATGGCTGAGCGATGTTGTGCACTTTTTCATGTGTCTGTTGGCCGTTTGGATGTCTTCTTTGGAAAAATGTCTGTTCATGTCTTCTGCCCTTTTTTTTTTTTTTTAAAAGATTTTATTATTTATTTGAGAGCGAGAGAATGAGAGAGAGAGCACATGAGAGGGGGGAGGGTCAGAGGGAGAAGCAGACTCCCTGCCGAGCTGGGAGGCCGATGCGGGGACTCAATCCAGGGACTCCAGGATAGTGCCCTGAGCCGAAGGCAGTCGCTTAACCAACTGAGCCACCCATGCACCCGTCTTCTGCCCATATCTTGACTGGATTATTTGTTCTTTGGGTGTTCAGTTTGATAAGTTCTTTAGAGATTTTGGATACTAGCCCTTTATCTGATATGTCGTTTGCAAATATCTTCTCCCATTCTGTCGGTTGTCTTTTGGTTTTGTTGACTGTTTCCTTTGCTGTGCAAAAGCTTTTTATCTTGATGAAGTCCCAATAGTTCATTTTTGCCCTTGCTTCCCTTGCCTTTGGTGGTTTCTAGGAAGAAGAATTTAAAAATTCTTTAAAAATTGCTGTGGCTGAGGTCGAAGAGGTTGCTGCTTGTGTTCTCCTCTAGGATTTTGATGGACTCCTGTCTCACATTTAGGTCACATGTCTCACATTTAGGTCTTTCATCCATTTTGAGTCTATTTTTGTGTGTTCCACCCTGGACTCTTAAGTGGAGGAGACTGGTTTAAGAATGACTCGATCAGGGGAGTCAGTGGTAGTTGTATTCAGTGACACTGTGCTGAGAAAATTCATTCCTGCATCGGACTGTCTCACATGCAGCTGGTCATCAGGTCGTGGGGAGACATCGATGGAGGAAGGAACCTTGTACAGCAGTCTGGGGTGTGTAGTGTGGGCTTCCGGACCTGGCTCCACGGGGTGGATGATGCATGCTACGCATTAGGCTCTGCAGGACTAACCTGGGAGTGAGGGGTTGGATTTAGAGATGGATAAGAAGGTAAATGTGTATATAACTAATTTAAAGGTCAATTAATTGCTTTGTCTTTATAGACTATAACATCTTTTTCAGATAGCTCTTGTCTTGCATCAAGGTCTGGCTCAAGGGAAGATGGAAGGCAAATGTTCTGTGTGGCAGACTCTGGAAGGAGTCTTGTCTTAATCCCAGAGGAAGGTTTGCTTAAGGAACCTAGGACACTGGGGACTTGATCTTAGTGTGAATTTATCCCTGACCTGTGGCTCTTCCTTAATGCCACCACAGAAATGTGCAGTGGATGGCCCATGTTGACATTCTCCTGGAGGTGGCTTGGGCAGCTGAATCCTTTCGTTAACTGAGACCATTGCATTTTTCCATGAGGGGCTGACAGGTTCCTGGAGAAGTGGAGCTCTGATATGCTCAACAGAGTGGGATCTTTTAAAGAATTTTTAAATCCTTTTATTTTGAAACAATTATAGACTCAGAGGCAATTGCAAACATAGTACAGTGAGGTCCTGTGTACCCCAATGATAACGCTTTCTAGAACTATATAGTACAGGATTTCTCTACCTTGGCAGTATGGACATTTTGTGCCAGTTGTGTATGCTGTGGGGGTGGGATGGAGGGGCTGTCCTGTGCATTGCAGGATGTTTAGCAGCCTTCCTGGTCTTAACCCCCTGGCCTCCAGTAGCATCCTCCTCTTAGATGTGACAACCAAAAATGTCTCTAGATATTG